AAATTTAATAAATATTTATAAAAATAAATATTTTATTGTGATAAGACAATTTAAATTAATATTTTCATAATTTAATTAATTTATTTATCTTTAAAAATTCCGCTATATTCTGCGAGATTCAACCGTTACCATTTGAATTCAACATTATTCCGCCAGATTCTGCAAAAAATCATAAATAATTCTACCATATTCTGAAATTCCGCCAGATTCCGCAGTTACCATTTACATTCCATTGGCTGATTTGTAGATAAAAAGCTTTAAAACTTTCGTTGCAATGGCAAAAGGGGGAATCGCGAATGTTGCAGATGCACAAGACATCAACATCATAGAAATTCAACAAAATCAAAACATAATTCCAACATAAGGAACAAGCTAGGAATGTTAGTCTCAATCTGATCGATCATATGCCTATATTAACCTAACAGTTTTTCATTTATCGGTCAGCAAATATGATTCGGCAAGTGCTAGATCGTCTGGGCAATGCAAGGAGATCTAGAAAGACACTGCACCCACGTTCTAGCATGGAGCAACTCAAATGCAGAACGAGTTTCTTGAGTACTGCTGAGTTCTCTACAAAGTACCTTGCCAGTTCCATATCAGCAGGATATCCATGAAATCTGCTTTTTATCTCTACGGACTCGAGGGATGAAACCAAACACCGAGGCACGGATGAGAGTGCTATTTGCTCACTTTCATTGTTAATACCCCATTCCTATCAGAATAAAAAAAATAAACACACCACATGAATGAACGTAGAGAACAACACATTTATTTATGTTTAAACTCTAGGGGTTGTGCAAGTCATCACCACCACTATGACGAGTGATTTCAGATTAGGAAAGCTCTCTAGAAGTCTCGGCAGCATTTCCAGGTAGGCTATAGAAGAAAGATCTGCTTCAAAACAGTAGAGACTGCAAAACTGCGGCAGCGGTTCTATTTGCGTATTATAATAGAGGTACTGCTTCCACAAAACAAGAAAGATGATAAGAATCAAAAGTCACGAAAGAACATCATATACATATGAATTCGATAGACATATAATACCTCTGATGTATGGGAAGAGATCACCATTTCCCTAACTACCGCGATACTGGCAAAGAAATTGCGAATCATATTTTGCCTCGGTAAGTCAGCCACATCAAAACATTCTTCCAGATCAAATGCCCCAATAAGATTGATCTTGGCTAAAAAACCCGAATTGCTTATGACTTTAGTCACTGATAGACCATCTTCGAAATTCAAAAACTTGAGTCTAGGGGCATCGATTAAAACCCCCGAATCTTTAGTATCAAGCAAATCAGCATCAGCTTCCATTTTGTTACCAACCTCAAAATAATAATACTSTATAYYGAGACTGGTTAATGWTTGAGAGCTCAGTCGTAAAACYTTTAAATTATCATCAACACTTCTAACAATGCTCAAATCTTCAAGAACCGGGGCAGACGAGACAAGCAACTCCAAAGCCGCGYCATTTGCAAATAMATWGTATTCTAAACGCARAATCTTGAGTCGAGGAAAAGAAATTGACTCGAAATTACCCATCGTAACCCGATTGAGCCTTAAGTATACCAATGTCTTGCATACATAAAGGCTTAATGKCATCACTTCGTCCCCTATACACTTGCGCTTCAAAATGCATTCGACATCGATATGACTACAGAGTCTACCCACTGATTAACACAAGACTACTCATTATCATCTCTCTGAATACTTAACTTAAGCTTGTGAAAGCATGACTCTTTARAGAAATCAAGAAACTTTTCCATAAAACTAACAAAGGCATTGTAATCTGGGGATTGATTAGCGTCTAAATCCAARGAGRGAGTGAGAAGCCAGAGCGATTTCCATCTATCGGACAAAACACTAGTCCTAACAACATCTTTTGTCRGAAGATGAAACAAGATCATCTCAGATATCAAAGAGTCAGGTAATTTGCTTACCCAATCCTCTCTTCCTCTTTCCCTGAAGTTATTTGCAATCCATTTGTCGAATAGCCGCTTCTCTTTCGGATTGCTTTCCTCCATCAAATCAGTTTAGCGAAAATTGAAAAAAGGATTTCACAGAGACAAGCTCGATTACTCAGTTTAAGAACGCATTTTACTGATTTTAGGGTTTTGTGTTTCGGAAGATCCAACGAAGACGAAGTAGACAGCAAGTTGTCAAGGTTTTCACTGATTTTCGATTAGGGTCATTTGGGTAGCC